TCTCGTTTTTTTTTTTCGATCTCTTCCTTTTGGTTCGAGTCTTTTTGTGTTTCTCTTGGGTTTCATCTCTAGCCTACCCCGACTTGCTCGAGACTAAAGGCTATGTTGTTGTTGTTGTTGTTGTACAGAAGTATCATTTTATTTTATTATAATAATAAATTTAATTTAATTTACTCTATTTTTATTTATATATTTTATTTATATATATTATATTACTTCAATTCAAAACGTATATTTAAATTTTATATCAAAATTTATTTTATATTTATATTTTAATTTATTTAAATGAAATTATCATTTTATTTTTATTAAATAGTAATATATTTATTTATTATTTTCAAATTTTTCACATTTAATTTCATTTAATTTAATTGTTATTTTATTTTATTTATATTTTGTTTATAATTACTTTAGTTTGCGATTATTTTATTTTTTATTTGATTAAGTTTTTCTCTGTTCGTGTTGTTTTACATATGTGTGTTAGATATGTATCTTAGGATGATGGTTGTATAGTGGTTTGAAGGCATGTCTAATTTTTTTTTGGTCTGGGTTCGAATCCTGGAACGAGCAACAAAACATTTATTTTTGCCTAATAATGGTAGAATAGTAAGGGGCAAAATAGTAAACTTCGATTTTAAAATAAAAAATATTTGAAAAAAATGAATATTTTCGCATTACATGAATGTGTACACCACGCGCTGTCAAGTTGGACGGAGAGGGGGGGAATCGTGCAACAGTTAGTTAATACAAGAGGGTTTGACGCAATTTTTGAAATATCAGGAGAAAACGCGCAGATTTCATATGATACAAGGGGGTTATGTATATTTTACCCTTTAATTTTGTTGGATCAGACCCGGCCCAGGGCGACTTAGGCGATGGCCCAGGGCCCAATTACAAAAGGGGGCCCATATGTATGTAATGTGTATAGAAAACATATCTATAAAGTTTTATGAGGAAATTGCACCCCCTACATCAGCATCACTAATATATTATAAATTTACAACCATTAGTTAAATATTTATGTAATTACTAAACTAAGCATAAATTATTGCTAATATACCTAAAATTATAATTAGGCAGTTACATCAGATAATTAAGGAGATTTTACCTAAAATTAAGGAAATTAAATTCACAACAAAAAACCGATGCACTCACGTCCCTCCTCTCACGCGATCCTCGGAAAACCAAATCTCCTTCAAAAAGAAAAAACTCCTTCGTCGATGGCATCACCACCTCACCGTCCGCGCCAATAGCATCAATCGAAGCAGTCGACTCCTCGATCCCCCTTCCAAGACGAATAGCATCAATCGAACCCGTCGTTTCGACTGAATCAGTCGACTCCTCCAATCCCCCTTCACACAAGTCAGCCACCTCCTCCAATCCCCCTTCCGCCGCCGCATCCGCCTCCGTCTCGCTCAAACATCCACGACGAGAGATGCATCTCGCTCAAATTAGCACTTGTGATTCGTCGATGGGGTACTCTTCAAGATCGTCTTGGCTTTTCGAGGCCGTCGTGTTGGTCTCCACGCTCTGCGCCTTCTTCCTTTTCTGCTGCTGCCATTTCTAATATATATTTTTAATTTATTTTTTCTGAGTATATATGCAGTATATGTACAGTATATGACCCGCGTCCCTGCCAAAAAATAAGCTTATGTTTAGTATATTAGCAAATTTTTTTGTTGACGAATGTTTGTTTCGGTCGGATTGATTTTCTTCAGTATATTATTAGTCTTTTGGGAGGAATGAGAATTGCTTATTTGTATCATTTTGTTTGTGTTCAGTTGATTTTTTGAGTCTATACTTTGTAGTTTTTTCTTGTTTTTATTGTTCAATGAAAATTGTATGGTTTATTTCCAGTATATTTTTAGTCATGTTTCACTGTTTTCCATTTTTTTTTTTCATGACATTAATAGGAAGACGCTCGATAGTATGTAATAGTTAAAAATTTTCGGTATATTATCAATATCTTTTCTGTATATTTTCTCATGGCATTAACAGGAAGACGTTCGACGGTATATTATCAGTATATTCTCGGTATATTTTCTCATGACATTAACAGGAAGACGTTCGACGAGTATATGTACAGTATATTTGCAGTATATGTTAAAGCAATATATATAGGCGATGAAGATTTCGTGAAATTTCGTACTCTTTGTCCGATTTCCTGAAATTACGCGCTAGGAACATGGAAGGTTGTTCCACTTACTTTGTAACTGATTTTAGGCATGATTATAATTAATATTTATCTTTTAGGTATATACACAATTTAATTGGTATGGATGGTAATATTGCAATTATCTAAAAATCAGTAAGTATACATGAAAATTTCCCAAGTTTTATTCTCAAAGTATTAGATACAAGTTACAACCCATAAATACTTGTTTTGCAAGTAGATGTGGCCCAATTCGAAGCCTCTTAGCCCATCTTTCCACAGTTCACACGAATGTCAATTGCAATTAGTGCTATTTAGGTCTTGTACAAATTATTATACAAGCTTCAAAATATTACGAGAATTAAGCTCAAATATTAATCAACTACTAATTGAGACCAAGCTTGTGTTTCTATTTGTGTGCTATATGCCTATACTATTTATTTTGTTTTGTATCCATCTATCTTCATTTTTATCATCCAGTGGCTCATTAACGAAATAATAATTCAATCACCTGCAAAAATATAACATAAAATGAATGTAAATCAATAAAAACACATTAAAACAATGTCATTCAATTATGCACATAATATCAATTCAATCGATCATTTTACTTGTACATAATTTAAAATTTCATGCACTTAATGGTGCCTTTATACTTTATAGTCACGTAATATTGTATTTTTCATTTAAATATTTTATGAAACGAGCCAACCACATATTGAGTATTCTACTTATATATTTTATGAAGCGAGCCCACCACATATATAGTGTTTTACTTATCGACATGACAATGGGTTACCCGGGATTCGAACCCGGAACTAGTCGGATGGAGATATTTTATGAAGTGAGAACTAATCTATGTGAAGTTATGAGCGCCATTATTATTTATATAAATTTATGTACATGTAATGCTATTCTAAATAAACTATATTATGAAAAAGCTAAAATCCTAACATCAATGGACGACCTTATACTTAGATTATTCGATTAACTATGGAGATTCTCATTGCAATATTTCAAAAAACAAAAAGAAAAGTCCCAAAATTTTGTACTTGCTGGATCATTTTCAATGAAATTATATATAAAAAAAAATGTTTCTCGAAGTATTAATTTTACTCTCACTGAGATTTATAAAATTTTTTGAGGGGCATTATTTTTATATATAGCCCAGGGCCATATATTTTTCAGGACCAGCTCTGACTCACACCACCCCATCAATGGCGGACAAACCACCCAACCACAAAATCAAGAACAGCAAAAGCACCATAAATTCAACATATTCAGAGAATAGACAAAAACAAGAGAATAATAAGTGACAGCTCCATCACATGCATTAGCTACCAGTAACTGATTACAAATAGCCACATAAGTCTCAAGTCAAGTCAAAATTCATGGATAACTAACATAATAGATACTACCAACTTTCAGATTTATATAAGCATAGGGATAGGTGGACAACTACAACTAAACCTTAAAGTTGACAACAATGTCAATGAGCCGTGATTGGTTTGAACCTCCACTCTCGAAGGACTGGAGAGCCACCAATTGGGTGGAAGACCGCGGCTTGAATAGTTTTCACAGAGCCACCATCTTCTTCCTCGGCAGTCAAAGTCATGAAATACACCAAGGCACCGGTCATGACAGCCTTCTCGACTTCCACAAGCTTATAACTGTGACTCTGTTGTTGTAATTTGGATTTTTAGTAGACAATAAAAAAATAAGCAAAATAAGGCTAGTATGATGTTCATGATTTGAGGTGATAACATTACAAAGCAAAATATATTAAGGACAGATCAGAAACGCACAGTCTCTTCACTGATTTTCTGAATTGCACACTCAGCTGCTTCGACTATTCTAGCACACGCGATTTTCTCAAAATCTCTTGTCCCCTTGCGCAACTCTTCCAGTGGAAGTGGTAAGAATGGACTTTCAAACATACGAGGTGGGCAGCAATCCACGTCATAACCCTACAAAAATCACAAGCAGCTCATCATCCATTTCAATCAAACAACAGAGCCCTGCAAGTAGTTTTGATGCTTGTTCACTAATAAAATACACTTTTGTCCATTGCAAATAGAGCTGGAAGAGTCATTGTTGACAATTCTCCTGGCATAGTGCTAATAATGGACTAGATCAAAATGGATCAATTAAATTCTAGTGCTTCTTCTATTAGTGAAGTTTCTAGAAAAAAAAATATATCAAACGGCGCAATGCACCTTGGGTCGCTACGGAAACAACCTCCTTGTATAATTACAAGGGTAAGGTCTGCGTACAACTGACCCCCCCAGACCCCAACCTGTTGGGAATATGCTGGGTATGTTGTTGTTGTTGTTCACTAATAAAATACACTAGAATTAACAATCATAATATAAGTGACAAATGACAATCACAAGCAATACTGCTATAGTTCAAAATCAGGATTGTTTACATCAACTCTCAAATTCTGCATCAGCTAACAGCTAATACACACACATCCATGTACAACATAGCAAACAAAGCATAAACCTGATTTGAGAAAAAACAAACAACAAAACAAAACAAAATAAGACAACCCAACATAAAATATATATAATTAAACAAAATTAACGAGTATATAAGCCAGATGCAGCAAATCAGAGCGCCCCAAACACATTAAATTAAGGATGAAAAAAACAGGACCCATTAGGCGAGCAAAACCCTAATTATAAACAAAAAAAAAAAAAAAAAAAAAACCACCACCACCACCAGTAGAATCAGTACAGGGACAGAGAAGGAGAAGGATTTTAGGGATAGATAGATACCCTAGATTCGCGGACTTGTTTGAGGAATCTCTTGACCAGCTCAATGGTATTAGGCTGAATCTCCTCGCCGTTCTGGTAGAAATAGGATTCAGGGACGTCATAATCGTTCTCTTCGAACCAAAACTTGCGCTTGTACTTTACAAAAAATCCCCACCTGTCGTCGTCGAGAGTCGGGTCCGTCACCATCGTCTTTGTTACCCTGATGCTTTGGCTCTCTACAAAGTATTAATGCACATTAAATAAGTCCTTGTTAAGATTGGTGAACCACTTCAATTTTTCGGGACATTCTACAAGGAATCTCCATCCTAAACTCACAATTTGAGGTCATTCTAGGAGGATTTTGTATTGTGGACATAGGCATTGAGCTCTTGAAATTAATTTCACACGAAAATGCAAGCAAATCATAACTTGATTAAAAACGCAACAAGCATTCAAACCTTATAATACGGATGATCATAAAGTGGACATAAGCCGAGATAGATTAACCAGAGAATTAACAGCTTTATTGACTAATCATTTAATCATAAAGACCTTATCACCCCTTACCTCCATCAGGTTCATTTGAAGTAAAAGCATTGGCATTTCCAATTCCAGGAACTGAAACCTCGCTTACTGGAGAATTGAATGGAAAGAAGCATTGTTAAATCACCCACATATGGGAACCCAGTATGCAGTGGGACTCCTACAAAAAGAGACTTAAAATATCATGAATTAGAGCGAACTAATGAGACAAAAAGAGACTTAAGATGTTATGAATTAGAGCGACTATGGTAGCTACTCCGTAAATATTCTAATTGGGACCATTTTCATACTTGAATAACTTGCAAACACATAAATCAAATCTTGTAATGAATATTTATTGCATGCAGTAGATACACGCTACATAGTGAATATAAATATATATATATGTATATAAACATTCCATCAATTAAATTGAAATAATACCTCGAAATGTGAAAGGGCCCTTATTATTAAAGAGAACTGCAGGTCTCCATGGGGTTCCAGAGCTTGCTGTTGTGGCTGAAGGAAACAGAGGTTTGTACAAAAATGTCCGACCAGGTTTGGCTCGAAACAATGCAAGACTGCTTTTGTCAGTTCCAAATAGAGGCGCTGTCTGAGCATCTTCAGATGGAATATTGGCTATACCCCCTCGTTCCACGGCATTTGTTCTCAACCGTTTAACACCACCACCATAAACCTCCTACAATTGAAGACAACAAGTCAGTACACTAACAGTAAACTACAGAAAGTTACTTTTGCACCCAAAAATTTAAGTCCACAAAATTTCTCTCCTCACTCATTAGGATGTATCAGTGAAAGGGATGCCAAAAAGAATAATGATTAATTTATTAATCTAAAAATCTGCTCCTACATAGAGGTTGGATACAGAGAGGATGAGAGAGAGAGAGAGATTTTACTCAGGCCACTACATGCGCTGGGCCTTCGCACTTCCAGTAGAAAGCATTATACACCTCTCATATAATCAACCATTTGATAACACACGAATAACTGACGGAGCCACTTTCAAAAACTACTCAACAAATAGTGGTAGTGATTTAAGGGGATGTCAGGTCGACATCCTTGTTATCACAAAAAAGTACTCAAAAAAGATCACCAAATAATGTCAGGTCGACA